GGGATAGGAGCGGTCGCTGTCGGTAGATACCTGGACGTGGACGTGTTGAAAAGGTCGGGCGACGCGATGACAGGGACCGAGATCGAGTATCGAAGAGCTTTGGACGAGGGGGCGGGGGGCGGGGAACGAGATAAAAGCGGAGGCAAAACGATATACGATGGGGGCGTATACTTGTTCGAGGAAGGGAAGGGGAAGGGCGAGGGGGACAAGGTTGGGAGCGATCGAAACGGAGTTTTGTTGATCGTCGAGGAAGAGGGTGGAGGAAAGGGGAGGGAGGACGGAGAAGAAAGGACGGATTCGGAACGGAATTTAAGAAGGAGACGGAGCCTTAATTATTTGGACGTGTTCCAGGCGGAGGGGAATTTGAAAAATTTGATCAGGAACAAACGTCTTCAACGAAAGGGAGCCGATTCGATCAGCGAGATCGTGGAGATAGATCTTCCAGCACGCGAGGGAAGCATAGACGTGACGGAGTTTCTCGTCCCGAGGAGAAAGATCGGGACGGATCGGGTTGAGTCCTCCCCGAACGAGGAGGAGGATTCCGCCATTTTGATAATCGACAGTGGCTCCACGCTGGCTAAATTTCTTCCCAACAACGATTCGAAAGATTCGGACTCGAAGAACTCTGTGGAGGAGAGAAATTCGGTGGACGGGAGGGACGAGAGACGAAGAAGGAGGAGGAGGAGAAGGAGGAGGAGGAGCGTAGAAAGCGATCAGGAACTGGAGGATGCGCTTCAGAATTTGGAGAACGCCGAGATCGCGGAGGTGGCCCACATAGATGGAGACTGGACGAATACGCCTTGTGCGAAGAGGATATTTTGCGACACCATGATCCAGAGAGGGCCAGACGCTGTTATTACGATGGAGAAGAAAATGGCCGCCCTTTTGGGCCTGTGAGTATCACCTCGACTTCGACGAGGCAACCGATATTTTCCAAGAATTGTTTTCCTCTCTGAAAAAAAGTTGTACAGTTACAAAACTACGGGAACTTGTTTACTCGTGTGATATAATGGCGTGTTGATTAGTATATTACGTATTGGTCGAGTATGTTATTTTATCTTTCGGTTTCGTAGATTGTAATCTTTTTCTTCTTTTGAAAGATATTTATAAATACGTATCTAATCCTCGTATCTAATCCAGGAATCAAATTTAATCTCGAGTAAGAATAGGTGAATGGCGAATTCGACGAGAGTAGATTGCAGATTCATGGTGAAACCTCGTGCTCGAGTAGAAATCATTTTATGATCGATATTTCGAGGACGAGACTTGACGTTTAAATTCGAGATCGGTTTCCTATCATCGTACTCTTTCTCTAGTTTTTTCTGGACACGCGCGTCACCTGTCACGACGAAGATTCACGACACGCGTGCACGCGTGTATGCACAAAGTGAAATTGTGCTAAGAGGTAAAAGTCGAATCAGTCAGTAGGACGTCGCCGGCGAAAGCTGAGAAGAAAGTTATCCGTTGCTCGTTATGCTTCCGACCAACCGCTTCTTCTTTCCTTTACTACCGCACTCGTCTGCCTATAATGTCTTTGTTCAAACTTCGAGTTTCGAGTTTCGTGTGAGCAGGAGAAATCGAAAAATTTGAGAAAAAGTAGTTACGTACGAATCATCGCCGAGATTCGTCTCACATCGATGTAGACTGTGTCCGATTTATCAATTTCGCACGGCTCGATGCAACTTTGATCTATCCTCACGATTCGAGAAATAATTATTTTCGACTCCAGCCGCTTATAAACGTCTCTTTCTCTTCGGATTTATCGATAATATATTATCGAAAAATTTGAAAAAAAGTAATTACGTTCGAATCATCAATTTCGTACGACTCGATGCAATTCTAACCTATCGGTTACGGTTCGAGAAATAACTATTTTTGACTCCAGCCGTTTATTAACGTCTTTTTTTCATCGGATTTATCGATGNTTATAAAAAATTTTGAGAAAAAGTAGTTATGTTCGAATCAACGTCGAGATTCGTTTCACACACATTCGATGTAAACGATGTTCGATTTATCAATTTTATACGATTCGATGTAACTTTGGCTCATCGTCACGATTCCAGAAATAACTATTTTCAACTCTAGCTTATTAACGTCTTTATTTCATCGGACTTATCGATATCGAAGATTTTGAAAAGAATTAATTACGTTCGAATCATTTAAGATTCGTCTCACACACATTCGATGTAAACAACGTTCGATTTGTCAATTTCGTACGATTCGATACAACTTTGGCCCGTCACGATTCGAGAAATAACTATTTTCGACTCTAACCGCTTATTAACATCTTTTTCTTATCCGATTTATCGATAATATATTATAGAAAAATTTTAAAGAAATTATATTCGAATTCGTCAATTCCGTACGACTCGATGCAATTCTAACCTATCGTTACGGTTCTAGAAATAACTATTTTCGACTTCAGTCGTTTATTAACGTCTTTATTTCATCGGATTTATCGATA